AGAAAAAGGGAAGCTAAGCAGTGAAATAGCTATGGCGACGAGGCAGAGACGAGCTTTGACGTCGGATCCTCCGGAGACGGCGTCATCTCCGGCGTATACAAAGGTAGATAAGCCGGAGAGATCGGACGGTGAAAATGAAGGCGTCGATAAAGGACTAGGTTGGCTTCTGCCGTTGGTTTGCCTAGGGATGTTGAGGCACATGAGCGCTACGTCAAATATTATTCACGATTGTGACGAGGTGTTCAATTACTGGGAGCCTCTTCACTACTTGCTTTACAAGTCTGGTTTCCAAACTTGGGAATACAGGTTTCACCATCTTCAATTCTGTACTATACAATGATAGCATTGTCAAATGTTGTTTGGAATGATTTTTCTTAGCTGATGTGTAAGATTTGGTTTAATTTCCCCTAAAATTATCAATTTTTTGCTCCATTAAACAAAGTTGATACAGTATTAAGTCACTCATCCTTATTTGCAATCTAAATATGTAACTATCCTGAACTTTACTTGTAGCTTCCTGGACATATATTTTGAGATTTGGCAGCCAACGATTCATATAGAGGATATCAACTAGTTGAGGTTAAGGTTTAGTCATTGTTGTTGCATATACATTAGGTGGATGTTTGACGAGGGTCCTCTAATTTGGTCAGAGACTTGTGTGCCAGTGTGGGGGGTATGTTTGTGATTTAGAGAACCCGGCCTTATTAGATGAAATATTTATTAGCAAACTGGTATTGGAATAATTTAGGGTCGTATAGAGAGGAATGGTTATGAAGGAATCTTATAGCCAACCTGAATTTTGTTTGGGATTGAAGCACAGTTGACTGGTTGATGATATTAGTATGATTCCCTTTTTGTAACTAGAGCTCAGTTTGTTATGATAATACTTTACAAAGTTCGGTTACTTGTCTTTGCAGTTCGCAGTTTGCCCTGCGGTCGTATCTGTATATTCTGCTTCACAAACTGGTGGGTTGGCCTGCTGCTTGGTGGTTTGGAGAGGAAAAGGTGATGTTGTTTTTATTCCCCCAGATATTTCTCATCATTACTCACTGATCTATAAAATAAAAATCTCATCATTACTTCTTTCAGTTATTCATTCTCTAATTTCTCCATTTTTCAACATGACAGGTGAGAGTATTTTATGCTGTGAGAATTTTTCTTGCAGGGCTGTCTGTCATCTGTGATGCCGCTCTAGTTGTAGCCCTTTCCCGAAAATATGGAAAGCGTCTTGCATCATATGCACTCGCAATGCTATGCTTAGCAAGTGGTTGTTTCTTTGCTAGCACGAGTATGTTTTTTCACTAGACTATGTTTGAGGTTTTTCCTTGTTGGTGGTAAACAATTAATGAAGCATGAGTGTGTTACTTTCAGTAACCTATATTTGAGGTTTTTATTTACCGGTGGTAAACAATTTAGTGATTTTTAAATTTCAGCTGTTTTTCTCTTTGCATTCAAACTATGTGAGCTAGATATGTGTGGGTGACTCCTTAATGTTGTTTGTCATACCCTGTGTCAACTTTCTCATAATACTAATGTCTATTACGTTTCCTTTACGCAGGTTTCCTTCCAAGTTCATTCTCAATGTATGCCATGTCTCTTTCTTCAGCACTATTTCTATTTAATAAGCCTGCCATGGCAGTTTCTGTTGCTGCCACTGGAGTGATTCTGGGCTGGCCGTTTTCGATCCTTGCTTTTCTTCCACTGACAATTTACTCACTGGTTAAAAGCTTCAAACCTGTGTTTCTTACAGGTGTTGTCACTTCTATCGTCCTTGTGGTAAGTTCAATCATATCATATTAAGTTTCCTGCTATGTTGAGTTTTCATGTTTCAAGCTTAAAATTTGGGAAGGTTCCTTTTAAGGGGACAAAAACTTAGTATTGGATTTCCAATGTATAGAGTTATTCATGCTTACCGTAATGCACAAAGATCATCTACCAAATGTTCATGTTGCTAAAATTCAATATGCAAGTCCGTCGTCGTACATTGAAATTTCAAATTACTTAACATAATAGGCTTTTTACCCGTTTAGTTGCTGCTCACATGCTTTTTTCCCTCCCTGGACCACCTATTCATGCTGCCTGATGACTCAACTTGGTGTACAAATTGTTCTAGGTACTCTCAGTTCTTGTTGACTACGACTACTATAAGAAGTGGACATCCTCTGTTATCAACTTGCTGGTGTACAATGTTTTAGGGGGTGGTGAAAGTCATCTCTATGGTACTGAAGGGGCATCATTTTATTTGAGGAATGGTTTTAACAATTTCAACCTCTGTTTTGTGTTTGCTCTACTGTTCTTAGCTATACTACCCGTTGCTAAGAAGAAGTATGCTCCTGAGTTGCTCGTTGTTGTTTCACCTGTCTATCTCTGGATTGCCTTTATGTCCTTACAGCCACACAAAGAAGAAAGGTTAATCCTCTTTGAGTGTTTCTTCTTGTCACGACAATATATAGATATCATATATATGTCTACTTGAATATTATGCTGAAACTCCTGATTTTCTGAGCTCAACCCAAAAAGACCTTTATAGTGGCTCGTCTATGACAAGTGTGCTAGCTGGAAAGATATTTGGTCAACATGCTCTACTAAAATCCTTATTTAGTAAAATTGAAGCTATAATTGTCTTCTTCAGATTTCTTTTTTTGCAGTGCTATACTGAAATTAGATCCCATCAGGAATTTGTATGTCTCTCCTCGTTGTCTGGAATCCACCTATTATCGTTTGAATTTTGGGAACTGTTCTTGACATCTGATGTATTAGTTTTTTTTTTTTACCCGAAATGATAATTGCCTGGAAGGTGCTAGTGTCATTGCTAAAACAGATTGGATAAGGCTCATGATAAGACTCCTTGGTCAAAGTCATTTCTGTATCCAAGAAACATGAAGCTATGTTTTACTGCATCTGAGATTGAAAGTAACATGAATTGCAAATAAAATCTGATGTAGCAACTCATTGTTTACTGCCTGTGCAGATTTCTGTACCCAATATATCCACTTATCTGTGTTGCTGCTTCTGCTGTGATTGATAGCTTTCCTGATCTGTTCAGGGATAAGTACAATCCCAATGGTTCATCCACTCTGGTTAAGGTAATTTCCTAAGTCCACAGAGAAATTGACAAGCTTCAATAACAGTGCCTATAGATTTTCACTTGCTTTGCTTATGCAGATAGCGAAAATTCTCAGACCTCTAGCTCTTGGTTTGATTCTTTGTGTCTCCCACGCTCGGACATTTTCACTTATTAATGGTTATTCAGCTCCTATTGAGATTTACAAGCATTTGGACTACCATGATGATGCTGGACCAGGTGAGGATTAGCCTATTTAATGACAAGTTGAATATGTGCTTGTTAAATTTTCATCTTCAGAACTTTTAACTCTGATGAATGGTGTATAAATCTTGATGCATGAATTAGTCTTTTTTCAGAGGATGACATGCATTGTATGATCTCGGCATTAAGATACTTGTCGAATTAAAAGACCATATAATTTTTTCTTTGAACTTCAGCTTTGTTGTAAAGAGTATTTTTATCCAGTAACTTTTGCCAATACTGGATAACCGAAAAGATGAAACGATTTCTCTTGTAAATCTGATTTTTTGGAACCGAAGATGTGCCTTTCATGCATGGGGTTGAAACTTGAAAGTGAATACCTGATTTAATTATTTGAACCTAGATGGACATGGACTTATTAAGGAATAAAAAGGTGTCCATGTCGAGATATGAGACGTTGATTTTCTGTTATCATGTGGTCTCCATTTATCTGGTCTTTATATTAATGCCCTATATTATGAGCTTTTTCTCAAATGTGAGCTAAAAGTTTCCTCAGGACATCTGTATGTGATTTTCCCCCCATTTTACAGCCACCGCTATGTTCTTGCTCCTCCATTTATTCTGTTCTTGCTAGATGGGTGCATTTCTGGTGCTTTGCTTAGCATGAAGCTGGATGCAACATCATCTTTTCATGTTCTGAAAGTTTCATGCAGTATCCATTTCCCCGTGTATATTTTAAACTTCTCCATGTTGGTTCAGGTTCTGTCCTTTGCGTTGGTAGTGAGTGGCACCGGTTCCCTTCTTCCTTCTTCATTCCTGATTATGTGGGCCAAGTTCGATGGTTGGATGATGGATTCACAGGCCTTCTCCCAATTCCGTTCAATTCTAGCTTGGGTGGTACCTCGGCAGCACCATCTTACTTCAATAATAAGAACAAGGCATCAGAGAGGCAATATGTAAGCACTCTCCTGTAATGTTTAACCAGAAAGAGTGTCCATTTATTTTTAGTGTGCAATGTATTCAACTATGAGATGACACTCAGTTTCTTCTGCTAATAATGTTATAGCTTAAGGATCCTGAGCAATGCACTTTGCTGATAGAGCTGCAACTTCAACGTCCTTATCCTACGCGAGGGAGTGACATGACCACATGGGAGGTACTTGGCTCAACCTCATAAGCTCATCTCTCTCTCCCTCCCTGTGCTGCATGTTATTAACTTGTGAGTGTTTTGCCTACAGATTGTTGCAGTACTTCCATATCTGGACAGGGAACTATCTCCTCCATTGTATCGTTCATTCTTTATTCCAAATCAATGGCAGCAGAAGAATGTCTTTGGCCAATACAGATTACTTAGGAGAATACAAAAGTGATTGCAGATGTACACGCTGAATTTTCTGTTGTCCAACAACTTTTAACTCTCCCGGGTATAGAAGTACGCTAATTTTGACTAGTTTAGTTTTTGTAGTTTGATACTGCCTACACTTTCGAGGATAGCAAGTTGAATTAAGCAAGTTATTGAATCTTCCATTAATTTTGGAAGTCAGATTTTGTACTGTTTTTTTGTTGGTGTAGATTACACAGATGGATGTTTAAATTTTGATTGGGAAGCAAATAGTCGAAATCTCTTATTGGCATCATTGGAAATATGTCATTTAATTTGGTTTCAGTTGCCATATATGCTCTTTAACTTTGGGTGTGCACAAGCAGAGAGTCAAACTTGTAAAAAGTTGAGTAATTAAACACATGTATCCTTTGTAGCATATACAAATCAGTTTGGGCAAATCAAAGCAGTTATGAATTAGTATGTATAGTGACAATTAAGCTAATTACAGAAATCGACAAATGAGCCTTGTCTAAAGCTGCAAAATTTGGCCACTGTTGCAGTACCTTGCTATTGCGATGAATAATCTCACAGTTTCAACATTCCCAGCTATTCTTCAAGCGTGCTCTTTGATTTTTTGGAGCACGTGTTTACTTGTAAGTCCTATATGAGTAAACCCAGAAGTTATACACACTATCCTTTCCAGACCCCACCTGGTGGGATTACACGGGGAATGTTGTTGTCCTTATGACGTTGGCACCGAGACCGTGAAGTTTCATTTCCAAGCTTTCATAACCCCTATCAATATGGGAGATTCCACTGATTTCAGTAATTCCTTCAGCAGCCAAACCCGCCAAAACCAATGACATTCCCCCACGCAAATCAGTTGTGTTGACCTGAGAACCGCGGAGTGGACTAGCAAAAGATCCACAACAACATCAATACGCAATGTCGTTTGTATAGAACATCAGGAAATCAAGCAAGGACTATAAACTTACCTTGCCTTTCCCTTCCCATAAACAGTTGCTCTGTTTCCACAGACCTGAATCTTAGCTCCAAATTTCTGCAGCTCAGTTACTGCACAAAAGTAGATCACGAAACCTTTGAAAGAGACATCGAATACAATTATCTGTTGAAAAAATAGCAAACAGTTCTATAGGCATTCTGACCAGATATTCTTTAGCAATCATGTGAGACTAAGTTGATCATGAAAGATCCGACCTCTAGAATCTCAACTTATTAAAAATTTGTAGTACGTTAGGAATGAGTAACGAGAATGGTTAGTTAATAATCCATATTCGTAGAATATGGATTATTAAATGTCCAACATGAGCTATGAAGTCGATTTGGAAAGAAACTAGAATGTAGACAAACAACTAAAAGTAGCCAGGCGTTATGATTATCACATACCATGGCTCATACGATTTTCAAAGACAGATTCCTCAATGATGCTGACACCCTTGCATGTTGATAGCAATGCCATTGTCAGCTGCTGGAGATCTGTCGGAAATCCTGGAAATGGATTTGTTTTGATATTGAACCCCCGCAAATCATCTCCAATCGTCCGAGGTACTGCTGAAAGCTGGTCTCGTGAACCACAATAACCATAAGAACTCAGTGCACAAAATGGAAGAAAAGCAAGAGATTAGCTACATTTAAGTATACCTCCAAAGTGTCATCACTAAGCTGTAATATTTTGCAACCAGCCCCTGAAAGCTTGTCTACTAAACAAGTTAAATTGCTGTGGGGCACAGGTGAAATTGAGATACATGATCGAGTAATTGCAGCAGCCAACATATAGGTGCCGACTTCGATCCTGTCTGGCATTATGCTATACTCGGAACCATACAACTTTCTCCTTCCAGTAATATAGAGTGTGTCTGTTCCTGCTCCTTCCACGACTGCCCCGCAATTTGTTAGGAAGCCAGCAAGGTCAATAATCTCTGGTTCCTATGTGGTACATATCAAAGTACATACTATTGAGGGTTAGTAACTAAGATTGTAGATTTATCAAATAGGCACTTCAAGAAACTATCATAGAAGTTGAAAAGACGGTACGCTTTCATACTTGAGCTGCATTTGAGATTACAGTCTTTCCCTCAGCCATACACGCCGCCATCATAAGAGTTTCTGTAGCTCCTACACTGGGGTAGCCAAGTCGGAAGCTTGCACCAGTCAAACCTTTACCATTTGATACATGTGCTTTCACTTTTCCATCCCTATGTGGACTCACAAAGTTAGTAACTACTTATTTTATTGAATGAACTCACTTGCTATCAGTATTGGTTCAACCAAAATTGGAAGCAATGGACATAATACCATCTCAAGACTGGTAATCATATATATAACTAAAAGTGTGTCTAAAGCTAAAACTTTTAGACAAGATATTCACAAAATTCGCCTACCCGGCTACCCCTGTTAGTAACAACAAAACAACAACAACAACATAGCCAGTGTAATCCCGCAAGTGCGGTCTAGGAAGGATAGAGTGTACACAGACCTTACCCCCTACCTTGTAGAGAGATAGAGAGTTTCCAATAGACCCTTAGCTTAAAATAAAACATTTTCAAGCAACGTGAAAAAAGGGACTACCGAAATGAGAAAAGTAACAACAACGAAATGATGTGAAATGGGAGACGCACACAACATAGAGGGAAAAATAGTAATGACTACAAAATAATGCGATAACCGAAGCACAAAAAAACACAGTGATAATCGAAATCGAAGAACAAAACTACGAGAATAGTACTAATACCACTGGTAAGAAAGAAGGTCCAAGTACTATCACTAATCTTATCCTGCATAAAAGCAAGAGAACTTTCAAGTAGCAATTAACCTTCTACCCTAATACGCAACCTCCAAACCCTCATATATAAGGTCATGTCCTCGGTAAACTTAAGATGCGTCATTTCATGTCTAATCACTTCCGCCACTACTTCTTCGACTTGCCCGTGTCTCTCCTGATGCTCATCATTGTCAACCTCTCACACCTCCTCACCGGGACATCTACAGTCTACTTTTAGGTAGTATGCGAAAAAGGAATAGAAATTCACTCGAATGAAGTTCACTAACCTCAACTCAACTGTAGCACCAAGAGCACGTAGACCATGAATGTAAAGATCAACCGGTCGGGCCCCAATGTCACACCCACCAGGAAACCCAACACTAGCTTCACCAAATCGAGCCAGTAATGGCCCTATTACGAAAAACCCTCCTCTAAGTTTTCCAACATCACTCAAATCAGGCTCTACAGACACAATTCCATCTGTATTAACCACCATGTCTCCACCAAAACTCATAACTTGAGCACCCAAAGACTCCAAGATTGAAGTCATTGTTCTAGTATCAGATAAACATGGTACATTTTTAAGGTTGGAAGATCCAGAACAGCAAAGGGTTGCTGCAAGAATAGGTAAAGCTGAGTTCTTGGAGCCACTAACAGTGACATGGCCAGAGAGCGTAGACCCACCATTAACAACAAATTTTGGGTCTGAAGGTGGAAGAACTTGGGGAACATTGAACTTTGAAGTCATTGATGAACAGAAACAAAATGTACCCATTGAACTAAAGCAGAAAAAGAGAAAATCTGGGATATTGAGGAGTTGAAGTTTGAAGAGAATGTCAATGAATTATTGTCAGTGTACAGTATCTTCAGGTTTACATGTTATTTTCATGTGATCAGTGCATTATTGCATCAAATCTGACATCATCAAATTCATGTAGGGTCCTTTGGTAACCAATAATTTGGTAACTATTCATGTAATAATTTCTACATAAGTTACTCAACGTTTGATAGTTAGAATGTAAGTTATTCACGTACAAAAATACAAAACTAATGCAAAGTTCTTTTTTTGCAATTTAGAAATCCGTATAACTAATACATGTACAAGTTATGAAAAAATTTGTGTATTATCTGATGTGGGATAGAAGATGGATTGGTTAATTAGGTTTAACCACCTCTAAACCATCTAACTTAGGAACTTAGCAGTGTTGGTTAAATAACTAACTCTGCATTTTGGGACTAGATAAATCTTTCCGAATATCATGAATATTCTTCGTCGTGAACTAGCTAATATATCAAGTAACACTCCCCTCAAGCTAGGAGGAGTGAAGATACACATTCCTAGCTTGCTTCTCAAGTGCTCATGCTAGACAATAAACTATTTTGTGAGCAAAATTTGTTGATTAATCACTCTTAAGTACGGAAATTTTCCTATTAGTCTTTGATAGCTTCTTCGACGTGCCTCTCTACCTCTCCTAATGCCTATCATTGTCAACCTCTCACGCCTCCTCACCGAGACATATACATCTCTCCTTTTGATTAGTATGTGAAAAATGAAATATTAGAAAATTCACTAACCTCAACTCAACTGTAGCACCAAGAGCACGGAGACCATGAATATAAAGATCAACGGGTCGGGCCCCAATGTCACATCCACCGGGTAACCCAACAATAGCTTCACCAAATCTAGCCAGTAATGGCCCTAATACGAAAAACCCACCTCTAATTTTTCCAATATCACTCAAATCAGGCTCTAATGACACGATCCCATCTGTATTAACAACAATATCTCCACCAAAGCTCGTAACCCGAGCACCCAAAGACTCCAAAATTGAAGCCATTGTTGTAGTATCCGACAAACAGGGTACATTTTTAAGCTTCGAAAATCCAGAACAGCAAAGGGTTGCTGCTAGAATAGGTAAAGCTGAGTTCTTGGACCCATTAATAGTGACATGCCCAGAGAGTGTAGACCCACCATTAATAACAAGTTTTGGATCTGGAATGAGAGTTGTAGGAGGAGAAATGAAGGCTTTTGGGTTTTGGGGAAAGTAAAGTTCGGTTCTTGGAGTTGATGGGAGATATTGGGGAGGATTGAACTTTGAAGCCATTGATAAACAGAATCAATATTGCAGAGTTTGAAGAGACCGGCTAGCAACAAAGTGTGTGACCCACCTGTGGTATCTTTGGTTCGCGGAAAAATGTACCCGTATCTATGTTTGTCGCATCAGGCATAAAAATGAAATTTAACGAACGGATAATTATATACATAAGTAGACATTTAAATTTATATGAAATTAAATAAATAGACACATTCATCTTACATGGCACCGTACATGACAATTTTGTATCCTACATGGCGTCCAATATGTATTATGCCATGTAGGACATGTATGTCTACTTGTTCAGTTTTATACAAGTTTAAGTGTCTACTTATGCACATTCAAAGTTGAAGGGCATAATTGTCCGCTAAAGCCTAGTTAAAAATCATGTTTATATATTATGCCCATAACAAATGTGCATGTTTACTATTTTCATTAATGACTTAGAAAAAATATTTTAAAATGTTTTTTTAATTTCAAAAACGTTAGGTGGTTTTAGAAAATTACTTTGCATTATTCTGTGTTGTTATTGTTTCCTGATTAGTTGCTATGTTTTCTTCACCATCCTTTTTTTTCTTTTTATATCTATGTTGTACTCGAGACGAGGATTCTCCTGAAATAATCTTTCTACCTTTATGCGGTAGGAGTAAAGTTTGCATATATTGTACTTTACTATCACTATACTAAATTATGAAATTTCACTCGATATATTATTGTTAAAATATGTTATAAAATGATCATACACATATGTATGAGTTCACCCAAACCTAATCACTTTTACTCATACCATATATTCGTATTAAGGAATTCATAAACTCGGATCCATCCCTGCACATAAACATATGTATGTAATGCACAAAACTAAGCTATATAACCACCAAATAGGTTATATAGCAAATTAGAGTACACAATTTATTCCAATTTTGCATTAAATAATTGTATATACTTTACTTCTTTTTCCTCAGCCACGAAAATAAAAATATAAACAAAAAGAACGGGTCATTAGCTTCATTAATCTCATAACAAAAATAGAACCATCCAATATACTAACAAGAAAACCAAAAATAACGCTCAACCATATTTCCCTTCAAATCATTTAATTATAAGTAAGGTATTTCATTGTATTACAAAATGCAGTCACACATCAGAGAAGGAGAATAATAAATAAACAAACAAAAATCACACTTAAAAAAATAAGAAATGGCAAAAGCTATCATTCTCCTCTCCGCTCTTTGCGTCTTGGCTGTCGCCAATTTCGCCGTCGCCGACTTCGAAATCTTCGACGTCGAAGGCAAAGTCTTTTGTGATACATGCCGTCTCGGTTTCGTCACCTCTCTCAGCAATACCCTTGAAGGTAATACTACTAATTTTATTACTCCTTCTGTCTCAATTTATGTGACACTTTTCGTTTTTTGACATTGACGTTTATAGGTGCCACTGTGCGTTTAACATGCAAGGACATGGAAACACACAACGAGACGTTTACAACTGAAGGCAAAACGGATTACATTGGCAAATACACATTGACAGTTGAAGGTGACCATGAAAATGACATTTGTGAGGTTACTTTGGTAAACAGTCCAAAAGATGATTGCAAGGAAATTGTTCCAGATATGGTTAACAACAGAGTTATTTGCAGTAAAAATGTTGGGATGCACAACGCTGTTCGTTTTGTTAACCCATTATTCTTCCAAAAGGACAAACCTATCAATGGTTGCAGAGAACTTGTTGAGGAGATGGAGCTTGTTGATCTCTTAATTCTTGAAAATGACAAAGAAAAGAATTAAGAGAGAATATATATATAGAGCTTTTGCATCTTTCATCATTTATTTATTCGCGATTTTTTTTAAGAAGAAGAAGAATAAATATGTTATAATTTCTCCTCGATGTGTAACTCAACATGGAAAACTTTAAAAAATTCCGTGATTTTCGAATGAGAAGATCATCAATAATAGCTTCTTAGAAATTTTTGTGTTTGATTATCAAATCGTTTTCTATCTTCTTTTTTTCTTTTTCTCGTTTCTCACTCGATGTTTGATATATACATCAATACTGATTGGTTAAAAAGTCTTCTCTAATGATAGTTTTGCTATTTCTACACTGTATAGCCACCCATCAAAATAATACTTGATAAATACATACTTTTTTTATATATAAAAATTGATATACATATATACAAAATAGTGGATATTATTTTATTTTTTGTATAATGTTTGACTATAGTGCATGTAATTTTTCTGGGCACTCAATCAAATGTATTATTTTCCAAGATCTTTTCCATACCGAGAATTGAACTCGAAACCCCCTCCCCTTTCTTCGACTAGTTTGTTTTTTCTGTATATATTTACTATGACATGATTTATCAGATAATCACTCAATTAATTATTAATTGAGCGATCATTTGACAAATCATGCATGATCATGTGAAATTAAGCCTTTTTGCACAATTGGATTCTTGTGTCAATAAATTCTCTTTCATTGAAGTTGTGCACACAAGTAGCATATTGAGAAACAGATAGAGAGAACTAAAGTAGAGATATATGAGAAAAATCGTTAGAACTATCATAGATGTTAAATTCTGAAGAGATATTTTTTAAAAGCGTAGAGATTTTTGTACTCTAATAAAAACTTAAATGTTGAAAGCATCAAATTAAAATCCTAGATTCGAGATATTAGCCTTATTCCTTTTCATTAAGATTACGATATATGAATTTGAATGTATATCTTAATTATTAGAATTTTATCCATAAATCTGAACACTTGTTTTTCAACATTTGAAGATCCATAATTTTTTTATTTGTAAGCATAATAAATATGCACTTCAAATAAAAGTAATTAAATATTAGCAAAAATATATGAATTTAATAAAATAAAATCACTATTTGATTAAAAAAATTAAAACATTTATGTTGATTATGATGATGGAGTGTTTTTAGTAGTGATAGTACTAATGATTGGTGCTAGTGATTATTAACTAGTAATAATGGTGGTAGTAGTTGTAATGTGGAGGCTGGTGATGTTGCATTACTGACTGATGTGATATTAGTGGTTGATAGTAATTGTGATGATGAAGCTGGTTGATGTTACTAGTGATGATGTTTACGAAAAATGCGTGAAGACAATGAATAGGTCAAAGAACTATCATTTGAGGTATTTCATATTTATGGTTGAGCTCAATATATTTTATGTTTCGCGTATCTTTCTAGCTTGAAACTCACTAGCACATTCTTTACTATTTATTTTGTTTTGAGACAAACAATCCAATATATATTAAAAAATGTTATTGATGATGGAGATAGTTTCTTGTAGTGGTGGCAGCAATAATTGGTGTTAGTGACTATTAATCACTCTCTCCGTCCACTTTTATTTATCATGTTTCGCTTTTCAAAAATCAATTTGACTAATTTTTAAAGTTAAATTAGATTACATTAATTCAATATTTTTAAAAAAAAAAAAATATTCAAAAACCAAACGAAAAGTACTATAAATTGCATTTTTTTGCATATCAATATGATGAAAAAATAAATCATAAAATGTTGGTCAAAGTTCTTATAGTTTGACTCTAAAAAAAGAAATTATGACAATTAAAAGTGAATGGATGGAGCAGTAATAATGGTGGTAATAGTTATAATATGGAGGTTGGTGATATTGCATTACTGACTGACGTGATATTAGTGGTTGGTAGTAATTGTAATGGTGAAGTTGGTTGATGTTACTAGTGACAATATTGATGATGATGATCATAAAACATTGCTAATTGTAATGGTGGATATGTGTTTATGTAATAAGAATTGGTTGTAATAGTGATGGTAAATGTGTGAAGATGATGAATAGGTCAAAGAACTATCATTTGAGGTATTTCATATATATGGTTGAACTCAATATATTCTATGTTTTGCGTATTTGTCTAGCTTGAAACTCACTAGCACATTCTTTACTATTTATTTGGTTTTGAGACAAACAATTCAATATATATTAAAAAAATGTTAATTCACTATACAATTGATGGTTCTTTTTGTTATTACCATACACATCTCTATTTGATCATTTATATAAGCAAATTTCAATTAGTATTATTGAATCGTTATCAAGTTGAAACAAACAATAATAATATATTCAATAATATTTATAAACATGATTCAGAGAGGATAGAATGTGTATAAATATTACATTTACCTTATTAAATAGAAAGACTATTTTCACAAAAACTCTATTCGAAAAAGCAAAAAATATGTATGAAGATATAAGTTGGTAAAAGATAGAGGACCAAAAAAATTACAACTTAAAATAAAATAATATGCATGGTTTACATTTTTAAAAAAATTGGCACCATTCCCCCACTACTACGTAAAAACTATAAAATACACCCCTAAAGATTCTCAACCAATCCTTTTCACCACATATATTTTAGTGATAGTGTGAGAAAGAGTTGTCAAATTCTCACAAACTATTCTCCACTTGCTCCCCATTCACCCTTTCTCTCTCTAGAAAAGAAGAACCCTTAGCGTAAACTCTGCGAACCGAAGAACCCCAAAAGGCTTTCAATTCAATGGCTAACAGCAATCTTCCTCGAAGAATTATCAAGGTTTCTTCTTCCTTCATGTTGATCTTCTTCTTTTTCGCTCGATGCATATCGATTTCATACATAAACTTTGTTTTTTTTAATCCATTGATGGTTTTGATCACTTCATTCGGTAGGGTTTATGATCTAACTTCGGTTTAGCTGATAATTTATTATTCTCATCTTACAGGAAACTCAACGTCTTCTCAGCGAACCTGGTAAATTTTCTGGAATTTTTGTTTTGAATTTTTCTTTTCGTATAGCCGTGTGGAATTTTGAGCTTCGTTTATGAGTTTTGAATGCTCTGTGATGTAATTTGTATTGTTGATTTCAGTATGTATGAGTTTTTTTTTTTTTTATTGAAGTTTACAGTAAGTGTTGATGTATATTAGTTATGGTGGTAGTAAAGGTTTAGGAGGATCTAATGCTGATTTAACTGTGGTGCAGCGCCTGGGATAAGTGCGTCGCCGTCTGAAGAAAATATGCGATACTTTAATGTCATGATACTTGGTCCAACACAGTCTCCATATGAAGGTAATGGATGAGCTCAATTATAATATTTGAGTAAGCAGGGAAATATGCTTGCAGCGTTTAGTTGGTTTTGTTGATCGTCATATTGTTTGGTTGGTGCAAATTGACTCCTTTATATTGGCTGGTGTATTGTATTGGCTAAAGTTTGTCTTTGTTGCTAGTTTTTCTTTTGTTCTAGCATTTTACTTGAACATTAATTGGCCCAAATTGTCCCTCTAATTTGTTCTATTCTCATTCTTTAAATAGTCTTGGGCACTTATCTACCTTTTCCGTAACTGTATACTAAATGAACCAATCATGAAAACCGGCTAATTTTCTGGACTAATTAATCCTGCAGAATATGAAGTTAACATGACTAGTTTATAACACTACTGATGGTGAGATGGGAACTGCATTTGGAAAATTTTAAGTAGTTACATAAACTTACATTTGCAACTCCCGGAGTCCCGGTAATATGAGCATCACTGTATGCATGTTTGTTATGAATGTCTTAATGTTGTTTGGATCCTCAGGAGCATAGCAGAAAGCTGTCTACTCTTACTTTAAAATGTCGAATATTGTTGTCTAGTAGAAACTGTTGCTAATAGCTAGCATTCAACTGCAAGACACCCATCAACTACCTTCTAATGTTTTTGCGATAATGCATGTGCAGCATTCTTTTCTTTTAGCTCTTTTGATTTTCCTTTGTTTTGTTGAATAATGATTTAGGGGATACCGCTAGAGGTGTATTTTGAACAATATATGTTCTGACCGCAGAACACTTTTTCCCCTCGTTTTCTCCTTTTACCTAATCTCCTTACCTTCTTTGTGTAGGAGGTGTCTTCAAGCTCGAACTATTTTTGCCTGAAGAGTACCCAATGGCTGCTCCTAAGGTATGTACACACATTAAGGATCGACAAGTTTTCTGGCAATGGATGTTTTAACAAATTCCAGTTGATGTTCTGGATTTTTGGTTCTTGAAATGGTATCTCAGAGCTTTGGAATGGATAAAGATTTATTTGTTTTTGACTGATATTTTCTGAAAGCAAATATCAAGATACAGTTTAAAATGTCTTGTAATCGACACGGCTGTTGCAGTTGTTGCATGTGTATTTTTCCTTGTTTCGATTTCCCTTTTCTAGCAATATTTGGCTCTTTTTTATTATTTGTTGATATTGCCATCTCTCTCCTGGTGGAGTGTATAGCTCAATTTGAATATGCCTTTTCACTGGAAGTTATAGTTTGATGTCTATGTCTTTATGTCTGGCAATATGTTGCGACATTTTAACTTCCTGATGTATCATTCTGGATTTGAAACTTCTCAGATGTTAAAACTTTGCTGCTTTCTTTTACACTGTTAGTATCTGTTATTTTTTTTTTTTTGGTCAACTAGTAACATTTTCATTCAACCAATATTATCCATATAAATCAGCAAGCTCTTTTTGGACATAGGAGCTAGCTCTCACAGAACCTTGCTATACAATTTAGCTAATTCAGGTAGTAACCTATCAACTATGTAAAAGAAAACATTTAACTAGGATATCCTATTAGCTGCTCCAGATGAGGCTTTAACTGTGGTGTCTTTGGCCTTCAATGTGCACCTGTATGGCAATCTCCTTTAGTCTCTGTGCTGTGCTCGCCCTTGTGGTAGTAAATCTTATTTTGTTTCTTTCAGTCCAGATGTTGTAAATGGTTTCTGCAAAACAAAATCCCAAAATTGCAGCTCTTGGTCTACTATTCTTGATCCTATCTATCATTCATTTGACTTCCCAGTCCCAGCTGCCTAGTTGTCTGTTATAACCTAACCAGTTCAGTATTGCTGTCCGTATATAAGAAGAAAAAGGACAGGTCTGATAGAACAGGTGATCAAAATTCTCCATTTCAGCACTCTGTCCACAGTTGATAGTTTCCTCTGTAATGCCATCCACAAAATGAATTGATGCCTTGGCAGCAGACCTTTGACCTGCACCAAATGTTTTCATTCAACTGGGGTGGTCATAGTAAAAAGTATGTACCCACACTATCCACAGCTTGTCCTTTTTCTATCCTAGTGCCCATAACAGTTTAGATAGAGCTGCCTTGTTCCATATATGCCCATCAATCACACTTAGTCCCCTTGCTGCCTTGGGAATACAAACTTTTTCCCATGCTACCAGTGTTGTCTTTGAACAATTGTTGCTACCAGTCCAGAGGAAGGTTCTGCACACAGTTGTCCCCATTGTTGTAATCTTCTTTGGCAATAAAAAGATGTGTGCCCAATAAGTCTGCATCTCAAATAGGACACTCTTTATGAGTTGAAGTCTACCACTATAAGTAAGGAATTTTGATGTCCAGCATTTTGCCCTAGCTATCATTCTCTCAACTAGGGTAAACACTGATGTATTGATAATATCTGTTATTTACTGCTGCCTAAGTGAATATGTTAGGTGAAATGCTTATGTAGTTTGTACTTTTTTCTTGACAAGGAAAAGAAGGTAAAAATCTATCTTGCAATTTGATCATGATATTTGTTAATAGATGCTCAAGCTTGATGTGAGATGCATTGACAAAGAAGCTCATGACAGTTGAAAAACTAAGAGACAAGCCTATTGATCCAGGATCATGTTTCACAACCTTGTACATGTTAAGGTTGCTTTTCTAGGAGTACTGGTTAAATGGCTGTTTCCCCCACATTCTGCTTCCATTTATATGCAGTGTGGGGTTGTGAAAATATAGTACACTTGGGCTACCTGGATATTGGTTTTACTGGAACTATGAGTCAAGATACATGTTAGTGCTGGAATAAATAAAGTACTAATGATCAAAATTATCAAAATGTTGTGATGTTTAAAGTCTGTTTCTCTGTGGCAGTGACAATGTGCAAATAACATTGGAACTTTCATCTAGGAATTTGATTTAAACCCAAATATATAAGTGATCAATTTGTTTTGTATTATTGACTAGTTTGATTCAGGACTCTGATTAGATTTTTCTTCTGGAAAATGATTTGATTGTCCATGATCAGGATATCAGCTATTGAAGGAAATTAACTGGTTGCTATAGTGATTAGGAAAATTGTAGCTTGTGTTCTCATAGACTATTATTTTTGTTGCTGAACTGCTCTTCATGGTTGACATCTTTTAATCCCGTCTTGTCTAATCTCAAATTTAAATCTCACGTTCATGTAAGGTTTATTCAGACCGCTTTTGGCCACAGTTGTTTGTACCTTTGGTTTCAATTGAACTTATAAGTGAGATGCTTGTTTATGAACTTTGCAAACCCTATTTCATTTGGCATATCCTCTGTTCTTCTCTTGGGTACTAGGTTGCAGCTTTGGTTCAGCCATTAAACAGAATTGTGATGAGATTTATTATTTGGGAGTAGATTTTTCTACCAAAAAATTTAGAATCCTGGGGGCTGAGAAGGATAGGACTAAGAAAACCCGGGTTGTGAGAAGAACTGTTTGTCAAATTTGGATTTGCTGCTGTAATTCTATGTTTTTTAATTTAGATATTCTAACAAATATGACTTAGGACAGTGGTTCATACGGACATGTTCTGTGTGAGGGTTTCTTGGATTTATTATGTTTAGTTGGTATTCAGACTTACAATCCATTGGATCATTGAAGATAAAGGATGTCATGACCTTAATTCTGCCGTGGACACAGTTACACAGTCCTTAAATGCCTAGGGTTCCCTACTTTATTTGTAGATGCATGAAGATACTAAATCTGGAAAGACTGTTGGGGTAAAATATTGCCACTTTTCCTGGGTGCTTTTCATGGTAGGTTTTAAGATGAATTAGTACCTGGTGTTGCTTAGCTTTTTGCTGGAAACTTACTTTTCCAAATGATTCTGGACTTCTACTGAAACATGACATGTACCCTTGATCTTAATAATTGTAGATTTTATGTGCTTGTGCACACTTTTTTTTTTTGTACGCATTTAACCTATTGTAAAGTTTTGCTATGCGTATAGTGTCTGTTAGTCATTGATCAATTTGCATCCCAACAGGTTCGATTCCTCACCAAAATCTACCATCCGAACATCGATAAGGTCTGTTGTCCTTATCAACTCTTTCATAGCCATACATAGATATAAGCCATAAAATACCTTGCTTATTTATGCCTTTTGATGTGAAGCTTGGAAGGATATGTCTTGATATTCTTAAAGACAAATGGAGTCCTGCTCTTCAGATCCGTACAGTACTTTTGAGGTATTAAATAATATATCATGCCTTGAAATATGTTTCTCATCTCTGTGTACATCAAAAGATGCAAGACTGATGAATACTACAAAAATGAGAACCAGATTCTTTTAAAGTGTTAGAAGTTCAAAAAGTTTACTACTGTTTCAGCATTCAAGCACTTTTGAGTGCTCCAAATCCTGATGATCCACTCTCTGAAAACATTGCTAAGCACTGGAAGTCAAATGAAGTTGAGGCTGTTGAAACGGGTAAGTTGTGTTCTGGTCTTTCAATGTTGAGCTGCAAAAGTAGTAGAAAATTAACATCTTTTGGTTATGCAAATCTGTATACACATTCTTGTTCAATCCTTAATTTGACTTTCTTTTTTCTTCAATGATCCAGCTAAGGAGTGGACACGCCTATATGCTAGTGGTGCATGAAGATATAGCAACGAAATATTCAAAATAACAAAAATCATGGAATGTAATCAATATTAATATTGACTGGCTTATCAATATGACGCCCGGATAGCACCCTTGAAATTGTATAATTGAACATGACACCCTTTGGTTTTTTAATGTTCAGGAATGAACTTTGTTACAACAAAACTGGAAATGGTAAGGATTTTGTCACTGCAAAGAGTAGTAAATGATTCAGATCTGTGGGTTGGAATTGGAAACTAGTGTTGCTGCAGCTGCTATCAACCTCCATAGATTTGTTTCAGGAAATTGAATTTGCAAGGGGAAATCTTTTGTTTGACCCTTTTTGTTCTCTCTTTCTTTCTTTCCCGCCCACCCTGTCCTGCATTGTTTGTTCGGGTTCTGCATGCTGCTTTTTCTCCTTTTTTCAGATAAATTGTCCTTCATTCAACCTTTTTGTCCTACCATTCCCAATCTAATGTACATAAACCCGAAAACAATGTGAAACGACGATAATCGAACTGTAAATATGCACCCATGGGATTTTGTCTGGTTATATTGTCAAGAACAAGTAGAATTATAAGGTCTACCATGACTATAGCATTACCTATTGGTAGTTCCCCTGGTTTGGTAAAAGCACCTTTGCTATTCATATTACCTGTCCTTTTCAAGTGATTAGGCTTGTCAAGGGAATGGCATGACTAATCTTAAAAGTACAATAAATTGCAATTGTTATATTTTAAAAAATTATTTTAAATTAATTTGTTAAATTCCGAGATCAATCAAATGGTGTATTTCGATTAACAGGATAGATAATATGACAGGAGAAGCTTTAACGTAATTTGACGGATTAGACTATTGTCTAATTTCCTTTATAGTCAAACTATAGTTTATTAATTGAGAATTTATACATCTGATAAACTTTTTATCTAATCTCTGACATGTCACAATTAAAGATCACATATTACATGTTTTAATGGCGATTAGAGTTACTACTAAAACATACTTTTTAGAGGCAGCTGATAAATGTATTTGTGGCAATTATTTATAGATCTTAGCAAAATCAATGCTACAACAAAAGTTGCTAATAATGCTAAGCATAACTGCGAGTCTGCGACTTGAGAAGGTTAGATATACACTTTTGTAGGCGATAAAAGTTGCTATTAATATAAATTTTTAGTAACGATTAGTCTTTTAGCGGGACTAAAATTGCCACTATTAAATATTTATGGCGACAAATATAACTTTTTCCGGCGACAAAACTTGCCGCTAACTTTTAGTGGCGACAAAACATCTTAGCGGCTACTGAGGTTACCACAAATAAATATTTTTAGTGGCGACAAATATAACCTTACACGGTGACTGCAGTTGCCATTAATAATTTCTTTTAGTGGCGACAAAACGAACTTTTGGCGGCGACTGTAGTTGCCACAAATATTTACTTTTAGTGGCGACAAATATAGCCTTTAGCGGCGACAATAGTTGCCACTAAAAATTACTTTTAGTGGCGACAAAATAACCTTTCGCGGCGACAATAGTTGCCACTAATACAAACTATTAGTGGCGACAATTATAACCTTTCGCGGCGACTCTAATTGCCACTAATAATAACTTTTAGTAGCGACAAAATAACTTTAGCAACGTCAGTAGTTGCCACTAATCAAACTTTTAGTAGCGACAATTACAACATTTCGCGGCGACTTTAATTGCCACTAATACAAACTTTTAGTGGCTACAAAATAACCTTTAGCAACGACAGTATTTGCCACTAATACAAACTTTTAGTAGCGACAGTTTAACCTTTCGCGGCGACTCTAATTGCCACTAATAATAACTATTAGTGGCGACAATTATAACCTTTAGCGGCGACTATAATTGCCGCTATTAACAACTTTTAGTGGCGAGAAATATAACCTTTCGCGGCGACATTAGTTGCCACCAATACTTACTTTTAGTGGCAACAGTTATACTTTTAGTGGCGACTGTAGTTGCCACTAATTATTACTTTTAGTGGCGACAAATATAACCTTTAGCGGCGACGCTAGTTGCCACTAATACGAACTTCAGGTGGCGAGTTTGTTATTTTTAGAGGCGACTAAAGTTGCTACTAATGATTACTTTGTAGTAGTGGTAGGAGTACATATTTTAGCGGAGACAATAGTTGCCACTTCAGTTTTTGGTTGCGACTGGCGCTATTTTGCAATTAATACTAACATTTAGTGGCGATATAATTGATCTAATTCTTTTTTTTTGGTGGCAACTATAGTTGTTTCCACTGGTATATAGTTTAGGCCAATTTATTAGCGGCCACACTAATTGCGAATAATAGTTACACTTTTAGTCGACTTACTTATAACAGGCCATAATTATTGCTACGAATATCAACTTTGTGGAAACAAACATAATATAATGTGCATCGTTCGAGTCAAACATTACTAATTTGTGTTAAGTCATGACTTGTGCCATGTCATGAAAGTAGAGTGAATAGAAATCAAAGCAAATAGAAAAGAAGGATTATGACGTTTGGAGTTACTATAGTGGAGCATCACAGTAAAAATTTATCCATACGCGATATTAATAAAAATATGACATACATCTTTATATAAAATAGGGATAAGGCACAAGTATCCCCTTAGAGTATGATCGAAATCTGAGAAACACATCTTAATTAAATTAGGGTTCTACTACCTCCGAATTCATTTTTTTGTAATTTTGTACATTTTTTTTCTTACCTGCCACATAAACATCTCTCACACGTCTCAAATATGTCGAGTTACGAAGTCTTCCACATAAGCCAAAAAATATATAAAATTACAAAAATAATGAGTTAAGGGCCTTAGTATAGTTAAGGTGTGTTGGTAAAATATACCACAAATAAAATAAATTACAGTTGAAAATAAAATGACAAAAAATAAATAAATAATCTTAGATTGAGATGCGGATATCTCACTCTCTTAAGGAGATTCAAGCCCTGTGACATAATCTACATTGATGCATCAGTATATTTCATGATTTGTCCCCTCTAGGATATAATATCTCAATAATGTCGTACAATTCAAACAACTCTGGATTAGTTGAAGAGTCTAAAGCTCCACAAAAGAACACATTCCTTCAACATTAAATACTCTCATTTGTATAGTTAATATAGTTGAAGACTTATAATATTTTGGCATAATACATAAATATGACACTTAATTGGCGTCAGTTGATAACTATAACATTTAACTTTGAGTGTGCACAAGTAAACACTTAAACTTGTATAAAATTGAACAAATAGACACATTCGTCCTACATGGCAATTTTGCGTCCTACGTGGCATCCTACATGTATTATGTCATTTAGGACATGTGTGTCTACTTATTCAATTTTATATATGTTTAAGTGTCTACTTGTACACACTGGAGGGCATGGTTTTCCATTGAAGTCAAGTGAAGGGTCATGTTTATGTATTATGCATAATATTTTCTTTATCTCAATTCTTTGTTTCACTACACTAACTCAATATACACAATATAATATTACTCATATTTTTCACTCTATATTTCCTTGTACATCTCTTGTTGTATTCAATTCAAAGAAAGATAATCATTATTTATAGCGGAGAAGAGATCTTACTTATAATGAATAGAAAGATAATGGGATAATTAATAGAAAGGCATAATACATAAATGTGTCATTTAACTTAGCATCATTTCACATTTATGTCCTTCAACTTTTGGTATGTACAAGTAGGCACTTAAACTTGTATAAACTTGAACAAGTAGACACATGAGTCCTACGTGGCACAATACACGCAGGACACCACGTAGGACAAAAAATGACATGTATGATGTCATGTAAGACATGTGTGTCTATTTGTTTAACTTTATACAAGTTTAAGTGTGTACTTGTGCACACCCAAAGTTGAAGGACATAAATGAGATTTGAAGCCAAATTGAAGGGAATATTTATGTATTATGCCTAATAGAAAAGGTGAATGGCCTATATGTTACAAGAATAAAGATGAAGAGTTGGTGGTTGCGTAAGTTACTTAACAAGTAATTACCACTTTCTTCCACAATTGATGAGAGTAAAGAGACACAAATGTAATGTCCACCAATGGACATAACGTGATACATAATGTGACACATGCTATATTTTGGCAAAAGGGTTTGGTGGATTCTTGTACTTGTATGTATTTGTATTATGAACTATACTACTTTATCATTTGTCAACTGAACTCTTAAACTCAATTAAAATGAGTCTTTTAAACCCCGACAACCATGTGTGTAGCTCACTCTCCTTTACGTAAATGACATGGCATATCCACATCAGATATATTAACGCCATGTCATAATTATTTTTAAAATTTATTAATCAAAATTGTTTAATAAAAGGTAAAATAATAAAATTTAATTTTTTTAAAAAAATAAAACTCCATACATTCTCTCTCATTCCCATTGTTTCACGTCAAAGCCGTCGCCGCCGTCGTCATTTTTGCCGACGAAACCACCCATATTCTCTCCCTCATTTGCATGCATCTCCGCTGCACATATCACCATTTTCCTTCCCTTCTCCAATCTCCACAAAATCAAAAAATAAAGCCACTGCACCACTAGATCGGGCAGAACACCATTACCATTTTGGTCTTTATCTCTACCGCACACTATCACCATTTTCGCCGCTATGATTAGAATATCATTGCACCCTCACCGACCTCATTCTTCCCTTCGCTGACCAGTCACGCCTCTCTCTCACACTCCACTGCCTATCAGTGGTCTTCGGCGAGCACCACCAGTGTCGCTTTCTCCCTCTATCGGTGAATTAGTGGACTCAAGGAAGTGCCCTAGATCTGCTAAATAGATGACAATAGATTGTGGAAAAGAATGAAAAAAGGGTTGGGCAGGGGATGGAGATGGCTGAAAAATAGGTGTAATGTGTGAAGAAGAAGGGGTTTTTTAATTAATTGTTTTTGAAAAAAATTATTTCTTTTATAATTTTTAATACTTTTAAGTAAAAATGTTATTCACTCGCCTTAAGAGGCGTGTAGTTACACACTTTTGCCAACTCACACATCCTAATGACACATAAGTCTGGTCAACGGTCAGAAAGATTTGTTAAATTGTATTTTATTGAGTTTAAGGGTTCAATAGATAAAGGGGTAAGTAGAGAATGCACAATAGAAATTCATACAAGTATAAGGGTCCACCAGAACCTTTTGCCATATATTTTTATTAATATTAAAATGTCACATTAACAAGGTGTGTTTT